GAAAATCACTTATAGTCTATAGCAATGCAGCTTTCATGATAAAATTCTGTTGTCTGAAACTATCATAAGTTTCAACCCCATTTGTCCACAATTCCTTAAGTTCATCAATTAATGGCCTAAGCATGACATCAATGTTTTTTCCTGGACTTTTAGATCCAGCAATTATCATGGCAAGAAATATATGCTTTGACTTTATACACAATTTAGGAGGAAGGTTGTACACTGTAAGAAAAATAGGCCAACAAGAGTAAGGCGTTGCAGAGCAACCAAATGGATTGAAACCATCTGTATAGAGGCCAAGTCGAACATTTCTAGGTTCATCAGCAAATGTTTGTTGGGTTTCATCAAAGTGTTTCCATGCCTCACTACCCGCAGTATGAATAACTTCATCCACATCCTCACGGCATTTTAAATTGTTGTACCTATGATTTTGATGATTACAAAACACATTTGAATGACTAATTGGTTTATTTAAGTGTGTAGTTAAGTTGCTAAAAGATTGCAAGTAAACTTGGATTGCACTAAAAATAGACCAAAAGGATTCAAAATGGTAGAGAGTCAGCTCTTTAAAGCTGCAGCTGGCTCTGGTGAAATGGAATGCAGAGAGCCGGCTCTAGAAGCTGCAGCCGGCTTTACGGGCAAAAATTTGACGACCGTTGCTTGGCGCGCGCGGAGAAAAAATGCAAAGCCGGCTCCAACTTTATAGCCGGCTGTGAGGGTGCATTTAATGCACAACGGTCGAGTCATTTGAAGATTATTTAATGTATTTAAAGTCAAAGTTGCAAAGCCGGCTCAAAGTTTTGCAACCGACTCTCGAGGAAAATAGAATGGCTTGCAAACCCGCATAGCCGGCTCTGCAAAGCTGGCTCGAGAAAGCTAAGCTGGCTCTCCTGACAAACCTGCAGCTCGAGTTTTGCGTCCTGCAGAGCATTTAATGACCTCTAACAGCTATTTTCGAGAAAGGGGGTATAAATATGGGTGGTAACAGATCTAAAGAGGTTTGGAGAACATTATATTGAATATCTTTACCCACCAACTTGTGCTTTAACTAGAGATTTTAATCTTTGAGAGATCTTTGTTTGTAATCCTCTTCTTGTGCTATTAGTGAGTGATCTTAGGGGTGTGTTGATTCCTTCAAGAGTAATCTGTAGAAAGGTTCTCTGGGGTTTATCTTGTAAAGGGGTGAGATTTGAGAGAAACACCCTTATTCTTGTAAAAGGATTGAATGGCTCCTTTAAGCCACCCTTGTTGTTGTTAGTGGAGAGTGTGGAGGAAATCCTTGGTGAGTGAAGCCAAGGTAGGGGACTAGGCTCCAAGTGGTTGGACCAAACCTCTATAAATCATTGAGCAAGCTCTTTTTCTCTACTCTCTTTAATTTGGATGTTGTGGTTGCAAAAAGGGGAGAATTTTTAGAACTCCAATTCACCCCCCACTTGGAGTACATTGAGTCAACAATTGGTATCAGAGCAAGGGCTCCAATTTGAAGGTTTAACCACCTAGGAGTTGATCGGGAATGGCTCAATTTCTATCTTCTCAACCACTTGAAGGTTTGTCTACCACTAAGCCTCCTTTCTTTGATGGTACTA